CTCGGGGGTCAACGGGCCGTTGACCCAAAACTCCGAACATACCCGGCGCCGGGTATAGGGCATACCCGGGGCCGGGTAAGCTGCTGCCTCCATATTACGTTTTCGCCGAAAACGCGAATCGGAGCCCGGTTCGAAGGGGGGTTGATCCCGTACAACCTATGTGTGTATATTGTGCATGGAATTGCATGGAATATGATATTTAAATGTCAAGGTTGATATTTATTGATTTAATTCTAAGACTTGGTTTAGTCTTTAGTAATAATATGATATAGACCCTGTCTAGTGTGATATGTGGTAAGTCATAGGTCGGGTGGAGTACCCAGGGATCGGGCGTGTATCCTCAAAACTCAGTTATAGGGTGGAGTACCCAAGGATCGGGCGGTTATCCTCAAAACTCGGTTATATAGGGTGGAGTACCCAAGGATCGGGCGGTTATCCTCAAAACTCGGTTATATAGGGTGGAGTACCCAAGGATCGGGCGGTTATCCTCAAAACTCGGTTATATAGGGTGGAGTATCCAAGGATCGGGCGGTTATCCTCAAAACTCGGTTATAGGGTGGAGCACCCAAGGATCGGGCGTGTATCCTCAAAACTCATAGATTACATTTAATAATCTAGGACCGGGTGGTGTCCCTATGGTAATTTACTTGAACAATGAGGAGTTCTATACACTCATAGGTATATGTGTGGGTTGGGATTTAAGTCAAGGACATTGGCTTCTATTATTTTCCCAAATAAACAATGACCTACGGGTCGGGTATTTCCAAGTGTATATATACTAATATGTATTTCAAAACTTGGGGGAAAGACTATACGTATATGTATCACCCTATGTTTGGGTCTTATACTTAAAACGTTAGTTATTCTACATTTAGCTTGCTACTCGCTCGGTACTTGTACTGACCCCTTCGGGGGGGCCACCATTTCAGGTTGAAGCTCAAGTTGCTATTCTCACCTTGCTCGGTGAAGTGATCCAAAGGGAGACGTGGTTCGTGCTTCCTTTATTGTTTTCAAACTATAAACTATGCTCATGGATATTTTGTAATAAATACATTTGTTTTGGGCCTGCGTGCCTACGTTTTGGCCATGTGTGGCTCACGATTGAATATTGAATATTTCCGCCATTCGTTCAATCCTAATATGTGATGTTGTTATGTATGTTTACTTACTGAGTATGGTATGGACTATGTTCATGGACGCCTTGTTTGACTAAGTTACGTTGACTCGCGGTTGACGTCATTTAGTCATACGGCGGTTGTACACGCGCTCAGATGCGGTCTGGGGCGTGACAATTTTGAAGGTTGAACCATGCTTTATATTTATCTTTCAACTCACTTAAGTGTTTTGCGCAGATTTTTACCATCAAAACGAGCACCTGTTTGTGCATGAAGGTTGTTTACAATTTTTTCGCAATCCTATTTAGTATTTCCTTTTGATTCTTCTTCGCTACAATTATTCAAAAATGTACTCGTAATGATGTCATTCCAAACTTGCCTCGCTGACATTGTCTATATTTGATAGTAAAATGATATAGAATTATAACTTCATAATTGAAGTCAAGTACTTATACGTTAATATTTCTAATTACATGTCTATACATAAATAGACTTAATTTTATGACGACAACAACATCCAAGCCTTAGTCCCAAAAGATATTGGGGTCGGCTAACATGAATCGATACATGATATCACGACCAAAAGGAAAAGAAAGAAAATAAAGATAAAAAAGATAAACTATTATGAAAAAGATAATATAAAAAGAGATGAATATACCTAAATATGATAAAATAACAAAGGATAAAAATAATGTTTATATATGAGGATAAAATGATAAAAAAAACAAGAAAAAATAAATGAGGGGAAAAGATAATACGAGATCACTCCTCCACACGACCACACGAATACCCGTCCTCCACTTTGCTCTCTCCAAAGCCATACACTCATCTAACTCAAGAAGAAGCATATCACTTCGGACTCCCCTAACCCAAGTCTATTTGGGCTTTCCTCTCCCCCTCTTCACAGCCTCTTCTCCACACATCTCAACTCGTCTGACAGGTGCATCATTCAGTCTTCTACGCACATGACTAAACCACCGTAGGCGCGACTCCGCATCTTGTCTTCAATAGGTGCTACTCCCACCCTTTGCCTGATTGTCTCATTCCTCACGTGGTCCTTCCTAGTATGCCCACACATACAACGCAGCATGCGCATCTCCGTCACACTCATCTTTTGAATGTGACATTGTTTCACCACCCAACACTCTACACCATATAGTAATACAGGCCTAATTGTTGTCTTATAAAACTTAATTGATTCAATATACTTAATTTTATTCATATAAAAATCAAAGAGTTACAAAATTGCCTAATTCTAGTCTTTTTCACACGTCGTGTTAATCATTTACTAATATTCTTGATAATTCTAGCATGTCTGGTATTCCAATTGATATAGAAGAGAACTTTTACAAATTTTGGTGAATATATCATGCATGCATGTAATGACTAATTAATATATAAATATATTATACTCCCAAACATAAGGATGATCAACCCATCAAATGATTCAATAGACAAATTAACACATGAATCAACACATAAATTAATATGGAGTGAATTAATAAATATGAAGTGATTTAATAGATAAATAAACACAAAGGAACACATGCATACATGAATATTGTGCAATTGTGCATGCATATATGTATACACTAATACATGTGTGATGCTGCGAAATTCAATTTGAAGAGAAATCGAGAGCATGCAATCATGGTGATAGGGATACACTACGGCTTCAATTAATAAGAGTGAAATTTTAAGAAAATTGTGAAAGGCACTTACGTGATGAGAAATCGCTAAAGGCAAAGTAGAGAAGCGGCGGCACTGCAAATAAAAATAAAGTAGAGATCATAACCTTGCAACAATTTATATATAGATTATATTAGGGATGTTTTGAATTAATTCCACTTTTGGTCCTACGAGTTTTATGTCAATTTCACATTTGGTCCACGTCTTTCACTTTGTCCACTTTTGGTACTTGACTAATGTTTTTTGACCATTTGTGGTCCTTTTCCCGCCATTTTAGCCACCGGAAACACTGCCGGAAGGACCATATATGGGCCAAAACACAATAGTCATGTATCAAAAGTGGACAAATTGAAAGACGTGGACTAAATGTGGAATTGAACTAAATTTTCTCTTCTGATCTTTTTAAATCTGAATTGGTCTCCTCTTGTTTGAATTGGTCTAGTTTGATTGGTGTAAGGGTGTTTTTACTTGGACTAGTCCGGTCAGGTTTGATCTGGTCTGGTGTAGTTTTGAGTTGGTCTGAATTCGTATGGTAGACATATAGTCTTTGTGACTATTTTACAACTGTCGAAGTCTGTTTTGGTATGCTTAAATCTTGTTTGGTCCAATTCAGTCTGGTCCATTCGGGACTGAAACCAGCCTAAGTAAAAACATACTTTGTAACATCTTTCAATGATTTGGAAGGGATTTACGGATTATAATATATAAACCGTATAAAATAAAATCTTTATGCAAAAAAAATATGAAACAAAATTTCAGACCAGACCAAAACAGACTAGACCAACAAATCCAGTCCAAGTAAAAACATGCTTAATGTTCCCTAAGATACTATTCATTTAATATTTGTTGTTTGAGCTTATACTTTATGATACTAACTCATTGTAGTATAGTCGCTGCCATCACTATTAGTCGTAGTATGTTCCCTATTAGTAGGGTTGGTTTGTTCTGCCGCCAATGTTTCAGGTTGGCAATTGTTTTCTGAGTTTGATTTCAGTTCAAGTTGGAGTCGATGAGCGTGATGTCTAGTTGCCTTCGTATGTGATGGTGCCAAATCTAAACTCATATTGGCTTTCCAATGTTGGGCGGCGGTCGATCGCACTGAATTGGGGCTAGGGCGGGTTGTAGCCTACTTCGTTTGCATTTCTTCAAGATGGGCGGCAATCGAAAGATGTGGCGAGATTTGGTCGCTCAAGTCGCATGAGAACAATGTGACTGGTTCTTTCAGAGTTTAATGACTGGTGCAAAGCTTCCGCCTGGTGCAAGTCTAGGTCAGAGCTGTGTGAGCGGTTTCAAGGAGAACGTGTTGTACAAGAAGAAATGCAATAAAGAAGATTCAGTATAGACAATTCGCCCCCCTCTTAAACCTCTGCCATTGAGGGATCGTGTGATTAGGGTTTAGAAAAAGATGTTTCAAGTTTGGATCGAGCCGCGTGCAATTTATTGCTCCGTTTTTCTTTCCATTTTTCACTTATGTCAATTTCACCATTTTATTATGTTTTTGGCTTGCAAGTGTTAGTGATTTTTTTGGAGTGATGACAACCATTATTTACCTCAAATCCTATTTATGTTCATCGAAAAATTCCATGCTGTTTTGGGTGATTTTTTTTATGTCTGATCAAGGATTGAGGGAACTTTTCAGCTATTTTGAGTTTATTGAAGTGGTAAAGAGTACGGTTACGGTGACCATAAGAGTTAGAAAGAACTCTATGGTGCCCTTTTGGTGGTTAGCAATTCGTGTTGTTTCTTTGGAGATTACCGTCTCAGAGTCTGATTGTGGGCCTTTTTTTAGTCTAGATGTAACTCCAAATCATTAGTTAGCATTTAGTCTTTTAGAAGATAGTTAACGGATTTTTAGTTAAATTAATATAGTCAGCATTTTTTTTAAAAAAATGTTATTCTACACCTATTTCTACAAAATGTAAAATCCTTAAAACTATTTCAATGACCGAAAAATGTAAAATTCTTAAGCTCATTCTAATGTTTAATTAGTAAAAATATAGTAGTACGTTTAATTAGTTCGCTTGTGTGAAGAACTAAAGGACAACGAAACTTTCCATTAAAAAAGCCCCCAGCGAGGATCGAACTCGCGACCTTTCGCTTACGAAGCGAACGCACTACCACTATGCTATGGAGGCTGTTGTTCTGATGTTGTAAGTAGTGTTATATAAACCAAAACTTTGCACCAAGAGAAATTGTGAAGTACGTCCTTCGTTTTCTACCAACAAAAAGAATGATCGGGTTTAAGGGAATTCTTACAGAGGTGCCGGAAGATGTGTGGAATAGCGCTGTTGGTTTCCGGAATTCGCATAGACATATCGTCTCTTCTCCCTAATTTCATCTTTCCAACACCTCAATTTAATCAAAAGGTACTTTTACTTTTCACAATCTAACTGTAATGATACAAACTCACTTTTGCTTGGTTGTATTTATCCTAGTGTATCTGCATTGTGTCTTGACTTCTTATCTTGCAGACTTTAGTTTCAGAGGAGGGTATTAAATCTGTTCTGCTTAGAAGAGGTCCAGATAGCTTAGGGAGTAAGAGTGTGATTATTCATCCCAAAACCTCAATCTATGGTGAAGGGGAATGTGAAATCGTTGCTACAGCTGGTGATGAAAATTATAATGAAGTAACTGACAGCAGGTTCAGCAATGGAGGTGTTGGAGAATTGCATGGTGAATTACGATTTATTGGGGCTACATTGCAACTCAGAGGCGTCAATCCTATTGTTCAGCCTTTGGTCGATGATTGCGGGAACATTCTTGTATACAATGGTATGGGTGTAAACTATTGGAGCATAGAACAAAGATTGTTACGTTTTCTCATATTGATGTTCTTTTGAAACATGATTATGATTTTAAATTTTTTTGAAGGACATGTAATTGAATTGTAACTTGTTTCTGAATTTTGATTATATGTGAAATGTGATCTGTTGGAGTTGGCTGTATCATTTAGTTATGTGTAACGGCAGAATCCAAAAGCTGGGTTTTCCCTTTGATTTACTTTGCTGCACTTTTTGGTGGGTAATATATAGGTGAAATATTTGGAGGAATTCGTGTGGCTTGTGATGAAAACGATACAGAGAGTCTCATGCAATCCTTGAGAGGAGGCTGTGGTATTGTAAATGGACAATATAAATCAATCCCTGACGTACTTTCTCGCATCAAAGGGCCATGGGCTATGATATATTGGCAGGTAACTATCATTGGTAAGTTCTTTTTATCATTATTTTAAGTGATGTGATGATTATTCATCATCTTAGACCACATGTTTCTGGTGTTTATGTCCTTGCATGTAGAATAGTTTGAAAACCTTGTGGTTTGGAAGAGATGCATTTGGTAGGCGGAGCCTTCTTGTTCACTGGCCTACACAGGAGGACTCTCGGTTTCTGCTATCTTCTGTGTCACCGCCTTCTTTAACATTGGAAAGATCTGGTGAATAGTTCTTGATTGACCATTTACATTCTTACTCTTTCTACTTAGACTAGAACTGTAGACTTGTTCAGAAAGTGTGTAATTATTGAGTAAATTGTCCCTATAGTTTTGTGGCATATTGCATTTATATGATAATAAGAATTAGTAAGAAGGCCTAATGTCTTATTAAGTTATAAGGGCAATTTAGGGAAGTTTACTAAATCCCAATTCATGTTTCAGACTTTCAGTTCCGGGTCCCAATTCTGAGTTGGGGGGGGGGGGGGGGATTTTAGCACACAAAGTAGAAACTCAAATCAATATATCCTCTCTTACCGTCTTACGTAGGTTTTCTTGTAATCAATCACACACTGCAACATGACAGTCTACTTTGCTTGTAAATGCTCTAACTTCTTTAAATTTCATAAAAAGGCGTTCGATTTGATATATTTTTTTGTAAAAATCATAGTCCAAATTAAGAAGTTAAGGCATTCTCTAAAGATTTTTAAAAAATCCAATAGGCTACCACATGGCAGCCAGAAATTGGGTTCTAAAACAAAAAAGTAAAAGCTATGGAAGAAAGAGTCATTTTTTTCTAATTATCAACTTGTTCTGTCTAATGGTTCTCAAAAGAAGTTTGAGGGTCTATATGTTGCTTAAAATATAGTTTGGGGGTTTATCTTTGCTTCTCCCGTTTTTATATGCATTGGTATAATGGTATTCATTCTCCACCTCACAAGCGCCATCCACAGGCAACATTTTCAATATGTTGCTTTCATGTGCTTTTGATTGAACAACTATGTTTCCATTGAATTTACTGTAATATACTAATATATGTGTGGTGTACTACGAACCTGCTTACAGGCTGCAGTACCTATGAGCAATGTGATAACCTGGGCTTCTGGGAAGAACTTCCTTGTGGAGTGTACAGTTTGTCTATTGGTGCTTCTGAAACCAATGGAGAATTATTTGCTAACGTTACAAAGCATGATTGGGCTAATCCAAATCTTAAAGAACTGATTAGGTGGGAGAGGAAATTCATACAACCCAGCCCTGTTGAATTGCAAATTCCTCAGATAAAGATTTCTTGTTGGCAGCAGGATATTTGTCCCAATGGTACTGGTAGGTAGCTGAACTGAAATAGGGGTCTTTTTAACAATTATGCTTCTATTAAGAATCAAACTTGACCATCTTGGTATTCCTAACAAGATGTGAGGCCATTTAAGATGTTTCTAAAGCTCTGGCCCTAATATCTGACACTCATGGTTCTTGACTCTGTTTTTCCTTCCAATACCTTTAGGTCATATTTTGTGTTCGTCTACATTGAATGTACAAAAAGTGGTGACGGCATTGAAGGAATCTGTAATGAGACGGACTTCAAGAGATACAGTTTATCAGGTTCTGACCTACTAATGTGACATTCATGTTGCTATTATACACCCACACATCATGCATACATTATTATATAATTTAATTTAATGCATGTTTCTTCCTTATAAAGATTTCTTCTGGTCTTGCTTCTTAGAAGTTTTACAAAGTAAAGTTTTTTTTTTGTGCCCTGCCTTACATTTGATTCTTTAGCTTGTGAATATGTGAGAGTTTATTTGCATTGCAATTCCTTGTATTTCCGTTAGGTAATGCGCCACATTTTTCAGAGAAGTGCTTTTTCTCTTTCTTTTTGAAATGATGGGATGAGCTAGTTTATGGTAATTGAATTATTTTCTTCATGGAATACCTCAGACAAGCTTCTCTTAAACAACGAGTCAATGACTCCTTTTCCCTTTCTCAGAACTAATATTTATCTTCGCATAGTTCAATTATGAATTTATGATTACCGATTAATAAAAAGTAAATAATAAAAGATGTTATTGTTAAAATTACAATTTGAAAAATATATTAGAAACACTCTTGATGTGTTCATAATGTCCCTTAATGTAGGCAGTGCACAAAAACTGTTCTCCGATAGCACTGCTCTTTTCTGGTGGATTGGATTCTATGATACTTGCAGCATTGTTGGATCAGTGCATAGATGCCAACTGTGAGTGTCTGGTTATAACAATTAATATTTAACCTCCTTTTTGCAGTCTAATCAATAATCGTTTTTTTCTGGACATTTGCTGTGAATTTTATCTTCTCTTGAATGCAGACGCAATTGATCTGCTTAATGTAAGTTTTGATGGTCAGTATGCTCCTGATAGAATTTCAGCCAGGGCAGGTCTTAAGGAACTCCAAAGAATTGCCCCATCAAGACGGTATGCACTTTTTAGTGTCCAGCATGAAATAGAAATTTATGCATTTAGGTTGAATATGTGTGTTGGCAGTCCTCAAGTCCTTTAGGAAAGATAATTACCCCGTTCTGGTATTGCACTATTGCTTCAAAAGAATATTCTGAGCTAACCTCTGAATTTTCCTTTTTTGAAAATCCAATGAGATCACCCCTATAGTTGGAGTTGCATCTTTTCCAGAGCTGTTGGAGTTAAAATATTCCAATTGTGATCTCCTGTTGCTTTACGTTACATCAGTTTGCATTATTTCTATGTAATCTGACCTTTAACCAGTAGAAACGTCTAAATTTCAGATGGAGACTTGTAGAAATTGATGCTGATCTACAGAAATTAACCTCTGAAACAAAACATGTCATGTCACTCATAAATCCTGCGAAGACCTACATGGTACATATCTTGGGGCGGTTATGGTGGCCTTTCATAGATTTTGTTTTGAAAAGATGAGAACTTATCAAGTGTTTAATTGAGGCTTTATGCTTAAAGTGTTTCCCTTTTCTTGACTGTACAAATGATCTTTCTTAACAATTAATGCGTAGAAAACTTTTGAGCAGATAAGATTCAAAATAAGTTGGGACGAAGTGACGAACTCCCCTGAAGTGGTATAGTCAAACACTTCCCAAATACTGTAAAAAAAGTTAGGATAAAACCAGACAATGAGAAGCAGTCTGTTCAGTAAAATTATTCTTTAAATATTAGACACAGAAGTAATATCTAAAAATTGATTCAGGACCTGAATATTGGAATAGCACTATGGCTGGCAGCTGGTGGTGATGGTTGTCTGTATCAAAACATGATGAACAGTAGTAATGCTGAATTATGTGAACGTGTCAAGTACAAGTCTGAAGCCAGGATTCTCCTGGTAGGCTCTGGTGCAGATGAGCAGTGTGCTGGATATGGCCGGCACAGGACAAAGTTCAGAAATGGAAGGTGAGCATAGACGATGTGAAGATATTTAAGCCGTTGTTTGGTTGGAAGGGAGGAAAGTGGAGAACTGTTGTGTTTTTGTTGGGTAGTTTTAGACGAAAAGTGAAGGAGCTATAGAATCCTCTTAAGTTCTCATAAGTCAGATTTCATACCCCAAATTATGGGTATTTTGAAGTTGCATTTTTTCTTGATTTCTTTCTCTCTCTTTTTTATCAAAATGTTATTGTTGTTATACATATCATCATCATCATCATTACCCCAGTGCTGCAAAGGCCCCCATCTATGATGGGGTGGGGGGGGGTCAGATGTATGCAGTCCCCTGTACTAAAGCACCAAGAGACTGTTTCCGGATGACCCATAGTGAAATTGGTGTCGAAAATTGCATGCATTGACTACTCCTTCATAATAAAGAAGCGCAGACAGTTTAGTGAGTCATTTTGCTTTATTCCATCATATTCCCATGCCAAAAAATAATGAGTCTTTGGCTCCATTAAAAATGATGGAAATGTTGTTATACATATAGACTACTATATTTTTAATTACTACAGACATATGTATATGAGTTTTGCTAGGGGTACACAAAATGTGTACACAAAATGTGTGCACATGTCTGTCCTTCACAGAAATTTTGTCTGTCACTGACAATTCAAAATGATTTGTCTGTGACAGACAAAATTTTTGTGAAGGACAGACATGTGTACACATTTTGTGTACCTCAAGCATTTTTCTATGTATATATATTGAATATAATATTTTATACAACTTTCTGAAAAAACAATTCCTCACTCCATTGAACTGAACATAACATCGTTCCTGATTTCTCAATTTCCTCCTCTCCCATTTACCTATTTGGCATCCCCTAATTCGAACCAAACAAATACTCCCTCCGTCCCATTTATATTGTCCCAGTTCCTATTTACTTGGTCAACACAAATCACTCTTAATTTCTTACTTTATATATCAAAAATTTATCAAATCTGATTCAGGTTTTTGCGACTTTGTAAATCTTTAAATGTAGTTTCTGAATATGTAAAAAAAATTCCTAAAAATAATTTGAGTGCGGACAGGGATCTGTTTGCTTTATCGTCGGTCAAACATCGTAAACCGTAAAGAGACAATATAAATGGGACGGAGGTAGTACTAAAAGTTCCATTTCTATGAGCTCACGTGCTTTAAACATTTTCATATATTGATTGTGCATTTCCCTTTCCAAGTTCTATTTTGTTTCCGTAGTAATACTTTGTCTTTTTAGGTATTCCACTGTAGTTGTTCTACTTTGACATTAGTAAAAATTGTGAGTACCAATGCACAATTTTGCCCATAATTTACTTCTTGTTAAGGGGGAATTGGAGTTTTCACCCCATGTATCCAAGTTTGAGTTTGCGTCCCTTTTGAAGTAAATGATATTTGCACCCCAAAGTTACAAAAATCCTTTGATGATGGGGTCTAAACTCCAATTCAGTAGAAAAATTTGGTGCAAGTTCTCAACTTTGGGGTGCTAATCAACATCATCATCATTACCCCAGTGCCGCAAAGGCGCCCACCTATGGTGGGGTAAGGGGAGTCGGGTGCACACAGCCTCACCCCTATACGAAAGCAGAGAGACGGTTTCCGAATGACCCATGGAATGCAAACTCAAATTTACATGAAAAAGTGAGATGCATCCTTCAATTCTCCATTTTGGAAATCAATATCCGCTAACTGTCCATAATTCCCCCCTACTTTTCCATTAATAAACTACTAACAACTTACTCTTAAATCTTATAACCGTGTAAAAAGTGAATGGATGATATAGTGCTGGTAATTCTCTCTTGTAAGTAATTGTAGCTTCATTTGTCTTTTGATTCCATAAATTTTTTGATTCACTATGCTTAATAAATAGTTGGCAAGGGCTGTGTGAGGAAATGAAACTAGACATGCAAAGGATTTGGAAAAGGAATCTTGGACGAGATGATAGATGCATAGCAGACAATGGCAAGGAGGTAAATCTGCTGCTCAAGTAGACATATTTCTAGAAGCTTTTTCCACTTACCAGTATGCATATTATATGCTATGATTCATCAGGCTAGGTTTCCTTTCTTGGATGAGGATGTGATAAGGGCATTACTTGATATTCCTCTGTGGGAGATTGCTGACCTGAATCGACCAAGTGGTGTTGGTGATAAGATGATCCTAAGAGAGGTCTTTTTCCTATTCTTTCAGAAACAACTTTAGCCTGCACATGGTCAAATTGTAGTTTTATATCAATATGTGGTTATAGAGATGTCTCCAAAAAGAAAGAGAGAAAAGAAGACTCTTTTGCTATGTGTTCTCCCAAGGTTATGGTTGGAACGCAGAAAATGGTTGGAAAGGGGAATAAATGCCAAGATTAAATTGAAGTCTGAAGACTTCCTTTACCAAATATTAAAGCTCTATGATCTTTCCCTATTTTCCTGGCTCCAACCTGACCCTTAAAGAAAGGTTGCTTTCCATGTCTTCACAACTAAATGCTTTTGAAATCACATTTGTTTTGTAGATTGCCCGAGTGCTTGGATTATCTGAAGCTGCTTCTCTGCCGAAAAGAGCAATCCAGGTGTTTATTCTAAACTTTACACTTGTTTTGATGTGCTCACAGATTTTCATCAAGCTTAATTAAGATGAAGGGAAGCGCTGTGTGACCGAGAGGTATCATACCCTTCCCTTGCAAGGTTGCTTCGTGCACCAGGCTGCCCTTTTAGTAAGCTTAATCAAGATATTAAATTGAATGCCTTATCACAGTGATAATTCGTTGAGTAATCATGTGTGTATTTTTTATTGTACTTTTGTTAAATCTTTGGCTGAGGTGCCTAGAGAGTGCTGGCAATATTATCTAATGCAATTTTAAAATCAAATATTAATTTGCTATCTTAGCTATCCCATTTTCACATGAGTGAATTACCCCGATAACTTGGTCTGCTTGGATCTAGGAACTTGCTAGTGTGTCTGTTTGCAGTGGGAAGTTAAACATAGATGAAATTTTATGGAAATGAAGCATAGTAGTCAATGGTGAGATATGGTGTGCGCCATATGTGCCATGAAAAATGCCTTTGAGCCATGGCGATCGCCTTGGACATGACAACTATGTAATGAAGGAAAGTAAAAGATGGTGATGGTCCCAGATAGAATAGTATTTCAAAATGTTACAACAAATTTTAGAGGCATCATCAACATCTAAGGGACCTAACTCATAGACTAAAAACTTAATTTTGATATATGTTAAAATGTTTTAATTTATGTGTGCATTAGATAAATAATTAAATACTAAGCAATCTAATTTATGCATTTTCCCAAAATATAGTCATATTTCATTTGCTTATTTTTTTATTTGCTTATATGTATGTGTACATATGTGTGTATATAATAATAAAACCAAACATAAGATAATAATTGACATGTCTTAAAAAAAAGAAGATAATAATTGACATTAAATAATTGAAAATATTTAGTTGACAATTTTTTTTCTTCAGCAGCATCTTCAACGATTTAAAGCGCCCTTTTATTTTCCAAAAACGGAAAATTGTATGTCCATACTACGGAGTATGACTGTATGAGGTAGCTGTAGCTTGCCTGTCATATACAATCTATAAAACTTCTCTGTACAGTTCGGTTCCAGGATAGCACGGGAGTCGAACCGCAAGAACTTTGGAAGCAATCGTGCAGCGAATCAAGCATCTGCTGGAAGTGTAGATATAATATATTTGGGCCATCAAACTAATACTTAGAACACTTCTCTCTCTCATCATGGCCTTAAAATGAGTAGAGCATGTGATGTATTTTATAACTAGCAACAAGATGGTAACTCTTTGTACTCTAAACAGCTCTAGTTTCATCTCAAGATATTCAAGGGATCTTTGATGAAACGAGGCTTCAGAAGGGAATGCAGAGATAACTAGCTACCAGCTGTTGAGATAAATACCTTAATCTCACCTTAGCAATTTCCAAATTAAGGTATTTAAAAATGCTTTGATCTATAACACAGAAAATGTGTATTGATAGATGTAGTATTATTTAGAAAACTATGCTTTTTGTATGACACCCTACACAAAAATGATATTTGTAATTTTGTATGCACACATTCATATATCTGCATAATTGGGGCACCATAAGTAGTCATTCATATTGATTGAATTTGAATCGTTAGATTAATGTTAAGCTGTTATTATGAAAAGGCATCATAGCTTAGACACCAAATCGAAAATAAAAAAATCTAAGGAAAAACAAAATTCAAATCCCTCAAATTTAAAGGTGTAAGGTAAATACTTCAAATTAGTATATATTCTGTCCCATTTAAAGGTTCTCACTTTTCTTTTTTGGACGTCCCACTTAAAGGTTCCCACTTTTTATTTTAAGAAACAATTAACACTTTTAAATAACAATTTAATCATCAAATATTAAAAATAATGCATTTATAACATTACATTTATCATCAATAACTCAATATACTATATACTCATCAAAATTGTTTCTCAAAATATATTTGAATTAGCATATTTAATTATTGACTAAATAATCGTGTCATTTTGTGATTATATTATTGTCTAAATATTTGAAAGTATGTTTTAATTATAAAGGAATTATTTAAATCACAATGAATATGAGAACTTATGATACGATCACTAGCCCATGGATCATATGAAATAAGGAGTATTAATCACCCATACGAGAACAATATGACCAGCTAGTCATGGACCCGGTTCGGACCGCCCGGCCCGGGACCGGCCCGGCCCGCCACTGTGCGGGCCCGGAACCGGCCCGGTTCTCGGGTCCGGGTCCGGGTCGGGCCTAGGCCCGGTGGGGGGGGGCGGGTCTGGGCTCGGGCCTTGTATTTGGCGAACCGGCCCGGCCGGGTCGGGCCCGGGTCCGGGCCAAAAACTGTTTTTTTTTTTTCATTTTTTGGGCTTTATTGAGTTGGGCTTGATGTTTAGGACCGGTTTGGGGGGTTTGGGGGGGTGGGGGGTGAGGGGGGGGGGGGGGGGGGGGGGGGGGAAGAAAAGAAAGAAAAAATAAACTAACCGGGTGGCCCGGCCCGGAACCGGTGGCCACCGGTTCGGGCTCGGACCCAACAAAACAGACCCGAGGCACGGCCCGGCCTAGGCCCGAACCGGCCCGGGTCCATGCCTATGACCAGCTAACCATCTCATGAGCAACTTTAACGCAATAATGATTGATCTAGTCTCTTTGGGACCGACTTTGATCTCAACTTGAAACCTAATGACCAACTTGAAACCTAATGACCAAAGGAAAAACAATAATCAACCTAACTAAAAAATGAAATGCGAATAGGAGCAATAGTAAGAGTGAATATAAAATTCCATCACCATCATCCCCAAATCCCAATGCCGCAAAGGTTCTCATTGTCCCACTTACGGTAGGGTCAGAGGAGGTTGAATGTAGACAGTCTTACCTTTGTATTAAAACACAAAGAGACTATTTCTAGGTGACCCAAGATGAAAAATCGCGTTGAAAATTTAGTCATGGACCCGGTTCGGGCCGCCCGGCCCGGGACCGGCCCGGCCCGCTACTGTGCGGGCCCGGAACCGGCCCGGTTCTCGGGTCCGGTCGGGCCTAGGTCCGGTGGGGGGGCGAGTCCGGGCTCGGGCCTTGTATTTGGCGAACCGGCCCGGCCCGGCCGGGTCAGGCCCTGGTCCTGGCCGAATTGATTTTTTTTTTATTTTTTTTTTCATTTTTTGGGGTTACCCGGGTTGGGCTTGATGGTTAGGAGGGGTTTGGGGGGGTTTGGGGGGGTTAGGAAAGCAAAAAAAAAAATACTCCCTCCGTCCCGTTGGAATGTTCCCGTTCACTATTCATTGGTCAACTTAGGTCACTCACAATCTTTTACTTTATATATCAAATTTTTATCAAATTGAACTTTTCTTGATCAGGCTTTGTAGCGGTTTTAATGTAGTTTCTGAATATGTAAATTTTATTTACTAAAAATAAGCGGAGTGTGAACAGGGATCGAGTTGCTTTATCGTCAGTCAAGCATCGTAAACCGAACGGGAACATTCCAACGGGACGGAGGTAGTATATGACCAAACCGGAGGCCCGGCCCGGCCCGGACCCGGTGGCTACCCGGGCCGGTCCCAGGCCTTACTTCCCAAAAAAAAGTCCGGCCGGTCCCGACCCGGGTCCATGACTATGAAAATTGCATGAAATGATTGCTGCTTCATACTCCTTCCGTCCCGCTAACAATGGGACTAGAGGGAGTGACACACAAACTAATAAAAAGTGGTTTATGTGGCTGATATTGAATTGATAAAGTAAGAATAAAGTAAGAATGATTTAGAGCCACACAAATTTTGTCAAATTTGGTATGGGACAATCTTAGTGGGACGGACCGAAATGGTAAAGCGGGACAATCTTAGCGGGAGAGAGGTAGTAACAAAGAAACACAGACAATTTAATGAGTCATTTTGCTTTATTTCGTCATATTCCCAAACAAAAACTAGTAAACATTTGGCTCCATTGCAAATGATGAAAATTAACATAAAACTCCATACCAAAGCTAAATTGATACTTTATTCAATAAAAAGCTAAATTGATACTTAAAAAACTAGGACTGATTCTTCTTGAAATCCAGGGCAGGACTAAATCGCAAGACCGTGCAACTCCAAAAATCAAATCATCCTCTTCCTCTTCGATTGCCATATGCCAGCACTGATTCCTATTTCCTAAGTTCTTCCCTCGAAGCCATACTTAAGGAACTGTTACCGCCCAGAACCTTGTTGTTGTGCTTTTCGACAAGCGACCGCATGAAGATGGCGCTGAAACATCTCATTTGCACAAGGCGAACCCACACTAATAATCACGAGATGCCGGAAACTCTTCCGAAGAACAAGAAAACGTAGAAGACAAGCAAAGTTCTACAAGCAAAGCAAGAGACAAGCAAGAACAGATCACTTCGAAGTTGGGCAAGCGCACCGCCATATAGTGATGGCCTCGGTGCGGGCCACCCGATCCGGGAACCGGCCCGGTCCAGTACTGTGTGGGCCCATCCCGGCCCGGCCCGGGAACCGGGTACCGGTTCCAAGTCTAGGCCCGGTTTAAGGGTGAAACCGGGGCGGTTCCGGGATTGATTAAATGTGAACCGGCCCGGTTCGGGCCTTTTTTTGTTTGGGTTGGGTTTAAATGGGCGGGGCTGGGTGTTTCCGATGGGTTTGGGGGATGGGGGGTAGGGGATGAAATAATCAAGAAAACAAAAAAAATAGAACCGGACCCGGCCCGGCCCGCAACCGGTAGACATCCGGGCCAGTACTGGGCCTAAACCATTGCCATCCAGACCCGGTCGGGCCTAGGCCCGACCCGGACCCGGGTCCATCACTACCGCCATACATTTGAAAAAACGGCAGATAAAGTAAACTCTACAAGGAGAGTAGCATTCCAAACTATTAAGAGAGCAATACTCCAAACTTGTACGTATAATAGAAGTATTATTAACTTTATATAAAAGATTATCTTAACACAACGATCATATATTGTTTAATTCACAAATAGAAGATTATAATGTTAAATACTCCCTCTGTCCAACTAGACTTTGCCAACTTTTTTTTGTTTGTCCCAAAAAACTTTGTTATATCCTTTTAAAGCAATTAATTTGTAATTTTATCAATTTCTCTCTCATCTGCCCAAACTTCAATCACACCATATTTACTTTTCTAATTTCACACTCAACTTAAACTTGGCAAAGTTAAGTAGGACGGAGGTAATACATAGTTTAAGTAATCTTATTATGATTGTAGAATTCACATTCTAAACTTTGATTTGTAAAGTACATAATTACCACATTTATATTATTCTTATAGGCTAAAGGGTCAAATAGGCCCTTTAACTGTCTTAAAGTGTTCAATTAGCCCTTATATAGGAGGTTCATCCCGGCTGTCGCCAATTGGGGTGGTTCCCGGTGGAATTTTTTGATGATTTTTGAGCATCTTCTTCATTAAGTCTAGTTTACTCATACCAAATTTCAGCTAAAAATTCAACAGCGAAGACAGTCAAATGATTTTTTGAAGATAATTGCGAAGTTAAACAGCGCAGTACATTTCAGAAAATCATTTGACTGCCTTCCCGGTTGAATATTTAGCTGAAATTTGGTATGAGTAAACTAGACTTAATGAAGAAGATGATCAAAAAAATTCATCAAAAAATTCCACCGGGAACCGCCCCAATTGGCGACGGCCGAGCAGAACCTCCTATATAAGGGCTAATTGAACACTTTAAGACAGTTCAAGGGCCTATTTGACCCTTTAGCCTATTCTTATATAATTGCAACATTATAAATTTAGCAATTGACAACGTACAACTTTAATCATTGATATATTTTAATAAAAATCATATTTTAAATTTGTACTTTGTGAGACAAATTTTAAAATTTTTCTGTAGTATAACCATTTAGAAGCTGTTCTGTTCGTCTTAATCTTATTACTTATTGTTTATTCTTATTTTATTCAGATCAGATCAGATCAGAAAGATTCAGATCAGATCAGATCAGATCAGATCAGAATCATTCAGATCAGATCAGAAACATTCAGATCAGATCAGGGACATTCAGATCAGATCAGACCAGATCAGAAAGATTCAGATCAGATCAGACCAGATTAGAAAGATTCAGATCAGATCAGAACTTAAAAAATTCAGATCAGAAACATTCAGATCAGGTGAAGAGAACAGCTTCTTAGTATATTATAATAATAAAAAGTAGTCAAAGTAGAATATATGAATAGTGAAATTCAGAATTTTGGAGCTATTAAAGAAGGAAAAAGTATGAGTAGTGACGTTGATATCAAGTAAATGTAAACTTAATCATATTTATCTTATATATATGCAAGTTGGGGTACCAGAGTCACACTCCACAGTTTAAGCTATTTGAATTATTTTTCCCCATAAGAAATGAAGACAATCCGAAGATTATATTTGAAGGGAATGGATGGGGAAAAGAGATGAAGACAATCCGAACTTTCTTACTTTCATTTCTTTCACAAAACTTCATGAATGAGTTGGTTGTGGAGCTGGAATAATCCCCAGCCTTCTGCGAACATCCTCCAAATCTTCATCAAAGTGCCGCTCATAATACACACACATCAAGTCGGTGCATCTCAAACCAGCTTTGAGTGCCCAAGGGAAGTAATGCTGATAGAACAGTG